GCGTGTTTGTGAGCAGACTTGCACACACCTACACATTGAACTGCAGACATCCAGACAGGAAAATATTCAAAAGGTAAGCACGGCGAAGGTCATCATTAGCATAGTATTAACAACCCTGTGTGTGAATGTCTGAGCACTTGTATTACTCACACACTACTCACAAATGTGTTTACACAGTCACACTGTGAGGACTTTTTTATGGGGATGAAGAGTGAAAAAAAAAATCATTAAATTTCAAAGTGAGTAATTTGATTTGAAGGCTACAATAAGGGTAAGTCTATGGAAATTGAATGCAATGTATGCAATGGCTAAAGAAATGGTAATACGACTCTTTGTGTGTGTGGGTCAAGCATAACTTGCATAACGTTGTGTAGTCAGATCCATGACACAGACAAAGGCATGTGAACGTGTGTGTGTTTGTGTGTGTGTGTGTGTTAGCTGTTTAATCAGATGGTTGATGTGTGTTTGTGTTTTAGCTGTGCGGTGGGTCACATATGTCACAGTGTCCTGTGGGACTAACACGGGGTCTCACGCTGACAGTGCATCAGGAACCCATACACCCACACAAAATACACAAGCCAAATTGCTGCACTGGCATATTTGGAGAAGGAGAAGGATTATTAGGTCAAACTACTTCACCAAGGACTTTAGTTCAGCGTTTCATGATGCAGAACACCTGCGTAGTTTAAACCATTCTTGTAAAACGTGTCTGGGTTTAAAAAAAAGGAAGAAAACCAGTCAGGAAATTCTAGATGGCTAAAATACCTGAACCATTAAATTTTTCAGTAATAGCCCAGAGGGTTTTTTTCCATCAATGAAACTAACCTCTGCTCTTGCAGTGGGGTTTCTGCGCAGACAAGAGCAGAAAACACATGTAATATAGGTAAGACACTTGAATTAGCAACTTCCAATTAAAGTTTCTTTATAACGTGCATAACTTCATCTCATGAGTAAAAACAAGCTGAAAGGAAGAGAGCAGGTTACATTTGTAATTTGATATTTTTCCTGCTGGGCATTCAGCAAGACAGTGCAAATTCTTTCCTTTTTTTTGGGTTTAATTAAAAATGATCTTAATACTTTAGCTATCCAGCACTATGGTCAACCTGCTGTCTTTAAATGTGTTTATAATAAACTGATTTGACTTACATGTTGTTTTAAGTTTCTCAGGATTTAACCACTTCTCTACTTACATGAAACGTATTCATTTTACTGATAATAGGTGTTATTAAAAAATTATTATATTGATTTAATGCACTTCATTAGCTGTGGGTATTGTACTGTTGAATCAACACTTTTCAGGAAGTAGTGTCAGGTGTCTGTTTGAACTCAAGGATCGAACACTCTAATACTATAAAAAGAACCAACCCCAAGGAAAAAAGAGTCAAAATAACTAATTTATGCAAGAACCGCTGGAGCGACTGAGTCACTTCACACATGAGAAACTTCTTACAAATAAAAATGCAAACAACAGATTTCAAAGTACAGAGACACGTGTTTTCTCTTCTTAGTGTGAAACTACTATCACAGTCTTCAAGGTGTTGCATCCACAGTGTAAAATAATGTAATACAACACATTTTTTCCAATGTCAAATTCCACTCCTGTTCATTCTTTGAAGGTTAAATCAGTGAAGCAAATTGGGACAAGTCAATAAAATCTATTTTTTATTAACAGACCCTTGAGCCACATGAGATATTTTGAAATTCAATGACCCCAAGATTTCTGCACTAGATTCATTGATACTATTGAGCTCATTTCCACGTCTTCATCAATCCATTTTAATTGCTTATCCAATTCAGGGTCACAGGCAGGCTGGAGACAATTCAGCTGACATTGGGCAAGAGGTGTAGTACACCCAGGACAGGTCACCAGTCTCTCACAGGGAGACAGACCACCATTCACACTCAAATTCATCTCTACTGCCAATTTAGATTCACCAAATAACCTAACATGCATGTCTTTGGACTGTGGGAGGAACTAGATCACCGAGAGGAAATTCACACAGGCAAACTCCACTTAGAAAGTCCCCATCCAAGTAATAAGGTGAACACCCACAATCTTATTGCTAACTATTGCCCACACACTATATGCCATCCTCATTTCCATATCCTCTTCCAGTAAGGTCATACTATTTTATGTCTATATTGAGACAGCTTTTAAATGAAGACATACACAGTACCTAAACAATGCTGATTGTTGTGCATGCGTTTTTTCTACGCTGCAATAAAGTTAGCCACAATGGGAACTTTAATCAGCCTGAAATGAACCCAGCCTCACAAATGACGCTTTAATTAGTGGTCTGGCAACTGAGACTCCCAACTAACCCCTGCTGTTCCTAACAATTTCCAACTGTCATACTCTCGAACTAATAAAAATACAGCATTTCCACACCACTTGTTGTCTTACAGTCTTTACAGCAAATTCCACTATGCCACTCTAAGTCTACATCTGACTCAACAGCTTTGCCTTATCAGCCCCGTGGCATATAATTTCAGCCTATTTGTTACCAATTAACTCAATGTCTGATATGAGGCCCATTGTTTTATAACTAAAATTCAGTCAGCTGTAGCAGAAGGACATCAGACCCAAAGGCAAAGAGCAGTCAAAAGTTAAATTTGTCTAGTGATAAGTAATGTCACATTAATTCATAATCAAGTTTTAAAAACAAACAATAATAAGAAAACCTATTCAGTGTAGAAAAGGTAAGAAATGTGAGCTGCATATCTGTATATATGATGCATTTGTACGCCCAGGTGAATGTACACTCTGGGACTCCTGGAAATATCCTGGCTATTGAGAAATGCTGCACTAATGAAAATAAAACTGATTATATAGACTACCCACAGAAACAAACGATACACCTGTCAAAGAAAATGAGAAAAGGCAGGAGTCCAAGTGGATTAATACTAGTCTTTGAGATTAGTGTCTTACAGTAATCCATCACATTAATTCCCTCAAAACAAGAAAAGCAATATAGACTAAAGCGAGCTCATTGATTTTGGTAATATGTTCAATCAGGCAAAATGGGAAACTCCAAGACAGAAATCAAAATGATCTCGCCTATGTTTTTCATTTTGTTTTGGCAGTGACAGTATTGGATAAACAGCTTCACATACAATTATGATCCCAAATCCCAAAGGCTCTTTGGTTTCTGCTCCTTTTTCTTTGCAGCTGGTCAAATGGGGGTTGGACAAATTACAGCATCCTTATGATTTATGGCAACAATAATGCTGACGACACACCAACACAGTAAGCAAGAGCATGATTACAAGTCCCCTCTTTCATGAGCAACAAAGTTAATAAGTGCCAGTGACCAAATGCCACAGTTAATGAAGGAGCAAGTTATTTTTGGACGCTATGAAACTGAGCATAACCACTTGTGTGTGACTTCCTACACACTTTTTCAGATACGCTATAAGACAGAAGGACAAACAAAACTAAGAAATTTACCTTGCTGGAATAAGGTCCAGGGATGAGCAGTTTTAGTGCCTGTCGTTTCAGCTCTGTCAGCCTTGCATTGCAGTTCTCACACCATATCCCTCTTTCACTTCCAGGGGAACTTCCACTGCCTGAGGCCGGCGATCCTGTCCCAAAACCTGGTGAGCCACCTAGCGAACCGGGTGATCCTGTCCCAATGCCTGGGGAGATGGTCCCAGGTGACCCAGAGAAGGATCCTGGTGAGGAGATTCCTGAGCCTGGGGATGGTGTTCCCGTGGAGCTGGGCATGGAGCCAGCACCCTCCGGGGCGGGGCGTGTGCCGGAGCGGGTGGTCTCATCATAGGCCTTTCGGTACCATGTGTCCGGGAAGAAGGAGGAAGATTTGGTCGGCGATGTGTCAGGGACCTAAGAAAAAATTTTCCGAAGAGAAAAAATTAATGATGGTGTATTTCCAAGATGCAAATTTTTACAGTCACTGCAGGAAAGTCAAAATATGTATATAATATAATCATTGTGTTTATGTGCATTACACCGACAGCACATGGCCAGTATATCAATCTGCACCTGCCTTTGTGTACTAATATAGAGATATGTTTCTGAAATAAAGTTAAAGCAAGTAAACATTTCTTTAATTAAAAATTCAACAACTAATTGTTCTGCTTTAACAAAAAAATGAATACCCAAATCACAGATTCAGCATCCATTGTTATTCCACAATCAACACTAAAAATGTTGATTTCTCTTAAAAAAAAAAAAGGCTAAGCAGACACAGAGTGTCCTGTGAATAACCCACACAGGAAATGTGTGATCAGGGATCAAGATTAGACGGAGTCTTACCTAACATTAGGACATTAAATTAGACAGACATTCAGTTAAAAACCTACAAACAGAGAATGACATTAAACATTTCCTGCAATGGAACGACAAGTCATCCTACTGAGTGCTTCCATAAACCACTAAATAGGATTAAGCCAGGATAGACCTGTTATTTTGTTCTACTCAACCACATGGGAACATCAAACAAGCAGCAAAGAGTGGAGAATTTGATCTTTTGCGGCTGGGTAAATCCAGTCAGAGAACAGACCCATTGATGTGGTGGAGGCTGTAAAGGTTGGGCACTCCTGTGATCTTTCTCTCGAGGGCTATAATAAGGCAGCAAAGAGTTGAGGCTGATAAATGGGAACGCTCAATCATCTCCAAATGAAGAGGTGGATATATTGTGCCAAACGGCGTGTTATAAATTATTGTTAATTAGTCTTTGTAGATGATAGGCAGTGACACAGGTGTGACTATAATAGTCTTCACTGATTTAGCACTTTGGTGCTCAGCAAGTGCTACTTCTGGGGATCATTCAGTGAAAATGCATGCCAGCGTTGTGACACCATAACACCATAAGCACTGATATTTGAAGTGTGATCTTCACAAAGCAATCAGCAGCAGGAACACAAATCTTACAAGAACCTTCAAGTTTCATGTTTATGTCACCCTGAAAACGAAGCAAACGGCAGTCTCCTATAAAAATGGGTGGAGTGTGAGATGAAGTGCATGCAGCAGTGAACGGATGATAAGTTTTAATGTTTACCAGGCTGATTGGGAACAGAGGTGTGTCCACCCCTCGGCTGCTGGAATGAATAACCTACCCCATATTTTCTGCTCCGGCTGCTCACAGACCTCTCCTTAGTCCCCGACAGTGAAGTCATGTTGGAGGTGAGAGGAATGGGGAGGAGGAGAGGAGAGGAGAAAGAACCTCTGCTACAGCTTCACATCCAAAAATAAAAAAATAAAAAAATAAAAAATAAAGACCACCGGATCAATTTCAATTAACCACACGCCCCAGCAGTTTGCTCTTCTCGGGCTGGTGGTAACCTCACGCCACTTCCAGATGCATGATGAACCCAGTTACATCCCCATGCTGCGTCTAAGAGACACACAATAAAAAATCACAGATGGTTTCGGTCTCTTCTTAACAAACCGCACGGTTTGTTGCGTCTAAAATAGCCCTCGAATTACTCCTAAAAGCACACAAGAATCACACAGGTCGGTGAAAAAGACCGCTCCCCTTCAGCAGAGTCTATGAGCTGAATGAAGCTCTCTGTTCAACAGCGCTCTAGAGTGGCACCGCACTCAGCCCAGCCTCTCTCCATCAGCTCTGCGTCTCAGGCTGGCCAGGTAAAGCAAACACCCCCACCCCCCTCAGGGGGTAGCTGAAATTCCGACGCACGGCGCAGGTCTCCTTCTCTAACTAGACCGTGTGAGATTCGGCTGGTTCAGACCACTGCTACAGAAGTCATCTCCTCGTTGTTTGTACTTTGAGTGTTACTATCTGCGCCCTCCTCTTGACTTCCTGCGGCTCCGCCGAAGCCAGCAGTTGACTGAAGAGAGAGGAGCAAGAACGCACATCTGGATGAAGGCGGGGCCAATTTATCCCTCATCTGCCTCAGGCCAATGCACGTCCAAAGGTGCCAGTTGAGTGACAGGTGGATTTCTGCCTGATTAAAGTGGAAAGTGGTGGAGTTTAGGAACATAACTTTAAGGTGTTTTAAAAAAATTGTAAGCTTTCAAGTCATTTTGACCAAAGCTATAAAAACTTTGTATTTATGCGAGATTCATTTTTGGACAGTATGGACTGAGAAAAAATATACTTACATATAAATAACAATTAAACCGATTTTCTATGAGGAAAATCCAACGAATGGAGGCATTTCAAAGACTTTACTTATTTATTTGTATTTTATTTTTTTTAGTTTGGTGTCTTGGAAGTACTTAGATTTTAATTCCTGATTACAGCCCCGAAAACCTCTCAATCAAGCAGGCAGTGGTATCAGATAGAATAAAATGGATGAAGAAAATCATCAAATTACAACGAGACTAAAAAATGTTAAATAACTGTGTACTCAGTGTCAAAGACATCTCAGCCCTGTTGCTGTAAGCTTAACCACCGGCCTTTGACCTCTGTCAGTCAAACAGAAACAAAAACAAATAAAAAAGTGTCAATTGTGACTTTTCAGCAGGTAAAGCTGTAGGGTGGTGAGCCCCTAATTGAAGAAAATATCTGTAGAAAGCAAAGCTAGGACTGTAGCATTAAGATCCACGCAGGAGCAGCAGCAATACTTCTACGTGATGGAAAGTTTTAGGAAACCCATGTGAACACAGGATGAGTGGTCACACAGTGCCCTCTGTTGTTCCCAGGAGGGCATTGCGGTTGAAACCAGACACCAACAGGTAAGTGAAAGTAGACTGTTGAACAGACCTGTTTCCCATCCTTTCCCACTCTTTTTCCTTTTTAATGACTGCGTAATCAGAGAAGATTTTGCTTTTTTTCTTTCTTGCTTAGTCTTTCACACTTTTTTACCAGAAGAGATTTTGCTGCACTAAAGGTGAGTGTCGATTTTAGAGAAAGAAGTGGTATTGTGAGCGCTCTGCAGTTGGGTAGTGTCGCTTTGACTTACACTTTTAACACAGAAATTTCAAAAAGAAACAAACAAACAAAAAACCTACAGGCATGCTGTTTTTAATTTTGCAAATGGTTAGCACGTCTAACAGGACAAAAGTCCTGGGCTCAAATCCGGGGTTGTGTAGCCTTGCTTTGTATAGTCTGCATGTTCTCCCTGCCCATAATTGTGAAAGTGGACTTGTGTGGTTGTCTCTAGGTTTTCGCTCTGCGAGAATTTGGACAAGCAGGTTGTACTCTGCTACCCCTATGATAAACTAGATAAGCTTCAACGCTGAATTAGAGCACAGCAGTAAATAATAAATAAATAAATAGAATAAAACGAAATAAATACAAATAAAAAAGATTACACGAATAGCAAAACAAGCTTTTTTATGTGTCTCTGTAAAACTCTGTGGATCTGGAAGCAAGTTACAGTAAAAAAAAAAAAGTCACATGACTGTCTTTTTTTCTATGTGTGTATATATATAACTTATTGAATTTGGTAGCTTTTTGTGAGATTGGAAGACAATGTCGCTTTAGAGTTAATACAGCAAAAAATGGGGGCAGTTTCAAAAAATTCAAAATTAAACCCGGTATGTTTGGGTGGCATTTTTTTCATATTACATTTTTATTTGAATTATTTAATTCTTGCCTCCTACCCATGCATAAGCCTATTAAAATCTCTTCTAAACAGTATATAGCTGCAAGTTGTGCACACATCCTGTGCTCAACCACAACACTAAATCCGTGAACAGCCAAGCGTGTCCTTCTCGCTTTTTCAGACATAAAATCACGCCCTCCGGTCCAGATGGTGGCGGCAAATCTTTTAGTGTGGTATACAGTCCACGAGAAATAACAAACATTTGTTAACAGGAATTGTCTGCACGACGCATTGCTTTCACTATTGACTGCAGGTTTTGTTTCGGGGTTAGGAACTCCTTTTTTTCGTGCAACTTTTGGTAACGGTGAATGTTTACATGCAACAACTATGTCAAGGGTTTTAACTGGAGCTAAAAGCTAGCGAGTGGCACAAAAATACCGAGTTTAGGGTTCCTAAGGTAAGTGGCTAGTTGTAGCTCTTGTCATTACTTCGCTTGACTCGGGCAGAGGTGGTCAGTCAGTCGCTATTTTTTATGGGTCTACGTCGTAGTTTGTTGCATTGCTTGTTTTAGTTGATCCGTACGTCAACGTTATTGCATTATATAAAGGGCGGAATAGTGACATGGCTTTAGTGTGACAAGTGGCGCATAACTACAATACGGAACTGTGTAAACCCCCGTGAACAACTTTGTGATTTGTTAGAAACTAGGTTTTTATGCCTGTTTACTAGCGAGCAAGTCTTGTTAGCAAGCGAGCGCTCTTATCTGGTTGACCTGCAGCACATCTTGGGCGTTGCGCTGTTACTGCACCGTTAAACTTTGTTTTTCAAATGTTTGTTGTGCCGTTTGCACATGTATGGTTTTCTTAAAACCCAAATTCATAAATGGTAGAGTTTCCCGTTAAAAAGGTACTTAGACGCCCAGTTCCAGGACACTGTTGTCTCCGTGACAACAGCTTTTCCGCATATTTGTGAATTCACTACGCATGTCAAGAATAACCTGCGAATATCGCGTTTAGTGCCAAACTCATCCAAGGCGAAAGTACGGCCTACTAAGCATGCCGATTGAGCAACATCGCCTTACTTTACTTTTTTTTTTTTAAATCAGGCATAAAGCTACTGCGGCTACCGGTTTATCCACCCTGGCGCCTACTACGGACCTTCAACTCCCCCAAATAAAGAAAATAAGCCCCGATTAATGTCAGATCGCTGGTATTCCGGTGTCCCAATGAACTCCAGGGAAAGCTTTCCACAAGGAGGAATACAACAAATATTACAGCAATGAAAGGTAATCAAAACTTTTATGAACGAGAACTCTGAGTTACATTTTAGAAAGTCGTTGAGACAGCCAGATGTTTTTATATGAACACACAAATTTACTCAAAATGACCACGTGATTTTTTTTTTTCTCTCCCCCCTAGGCGCACCTGGAAAAACAAGGAAAAAGGAACCTAAAAAGAAGTCGCCAGAGAAAGACCCCTCAGATGCGGTTTTGTCTCCCAGCACAGATGATTCAAGTGCTGTGCCAGGCAGCGGCAACTGCAGCGACTGCGGCCTTGTCTTTTCAATAGAGGCTAGTACTCCAAAAAATGAAAGGGAGAAAATGAGGTTTGCACAAGAAGCCTGCTTGACCTCCACACCAGTCTACAGCACCACCTATGATGTCCCATCAACCATTTCAGGCTCCCCTCCTGAAGGGGAGCTACAATACACTGAGTTCATCACTCAGATAAAGGTATGGTATAAAAGTGAAATTTATATATTTTTATAATCCCACATAGCTTCAATGAATTCAGTTTCCTTTTATGTTCTGTTTTATGTCCTAATTTCCTTCGGGATTAATAAAGTATTCTGATTCTGATTTAGACAACAGCGGTAGATTCACAGTCAAAACCTCAACGTAAGCGTAAGAGACCGGTTAAACAAAGACAGACAAAGACGCAAACGCAGACCGAAGGTAAAACCGATGATCCTCCAGTCAAGTGCCGGCGTGGTAGGAAGCCAAAAAGAGAGACTGGGAATTTAAATAAAGAGAAATCATCCTCCCGCTCCAGGCCAAGATTTGAACTCCAGAAGGCTGAAGCAGAAAGTCAAGGTAGTGTATTATTCAGTACTGTTGTCCCCAAGCACAGCCAGTTCTGTGAAGCCACATTTTTTACATTTGTTTTTTATTTTGCACAGTCTGTCTTGCATGTCATGTGTTTTTAATTGGCATGGAGAGCTGCAGGTGTGCTCTAATTCTGTCTCTTCTTAACTCCACAATAGATGACTCCATGATGTCTTCGGATCTTTCAATAGAACTGAGTCATCATGAAGAACAGCTGTCTACTTTGTCCTACCAGAAGGATGACATAAGTGATGAGGAGGACGAGGAAGAGCTCCCAAGTTTCCTGATGCGGACAGACGAAAGTGAGCGAGACCACAAGGATAACTGGAGTCTGTGACGGTACAGGACACTTTGAGTTGATTTGTTTATTTTTGTTTTGACTTTCAGAGCCCCCATCCATTACCGAAGGAGCATTTGTGTGGCACAAATATAGAAACTATCCATATTGGCCTGCATTGGTGAGTACATAATGGTGACATGTGATAAAATCACAATTTAGCAGATTCTGGTTAATGTTTTCCTTTTCTTTTATTGAATCAATGCCTTAAATGCTTTTTTGATACGTGCTGTCAGTCAGCCTACTATTGTATATCTTGAATTTACTAGATGATGAATCAAA